CAAGCGAATAAGGCAGAGTAGAACACTCTACAGCTACAACTGTAAAGTAACTCAGAAGAATGCACTTTAAAAATCTACATTAAGAAAACATCTTCAACTGAAATGATTTAAAATATTCAATAGACTTGAATTCTATACACAAAATTAGCTAAGTAAACACTTTACTAGATACTGTGTCGTGCCGTGTTTGATCACGGCCGGATCTCTAAATATTTTTAAAAAGTCAACTTTAAAATCCGAATCGACGTTCAAATTAAAAATTTCCGCCACACTTATTTTGCTATTGTTACCTTAATTTACAATGCTCTGCGGAACTTTTATACATTTTTTTTTCAATTGACATCACTTAATATTTTTATCTAGTGGTTTCATTTTTTTTCGTTGATTATACGCATATCGTAAAACAGCAGACATGCATGGTAAATATGAAGGAAAGCAGCAAAGATCACAAATATTTATGGAAATATTATGCCATTCATTAACATTCCGTATGTATCATCTTTTTAATGACTAAAATCGTTTGACATGTGACATATTTCACTAAGGTATATAGTGAAATCTTTCGAAACATAGCGCAGAATATATTCAGTAAACAATAATTACAGAAAAGAAAACATTCGACCTAAATCTGCTTTGAGTGACATGTCCGCTCCAGTGACCTCAGGCAAAATCATAACGAATCGGTAATTGTAATCATTCACCGAATGGTAAAATTCAAAACTCTCTCTTACAGAATATTGTAATGTCCAATAATAAACGTAGAATAGCAAAAGGTATAAAGTTATATTTCCTTCGTTGACGTTAGTAGTGATGAAACTTCTGTAAATTGTTTAAGTTGTAAAATAAGTACGTACCTATAATAAATATAAAATGTACAGTCAAATGTTGTTGGTAGTAGTCCAGTTTGGTCATACTGGTATGTTTTTATAGCTGGCAGAGTTTTGTTCACACCTATTTTGCCGTGAAACTATCAATTGATAGTTTCACGGCAAATATGCATGCATTATTTTATTGTATAAACTTTTCTGTCAGAAATTGTGGATGGTATCTCTGTTATAAAAAGCATAACATCTTCGTTCTTTGAAGTTTCAACAAATATAGGCGTCATGGATGTATACAGATACATACATGTTATCGTCAATGTATACGAGTAGACAGTTTCTTTCAGACATATTGTTTATTACTAGTAGTAATATAAAAAAAACTTAACTAGGAACCCTTATTGTAGTTGGAACATTTAGAACGGTTACTCAAATAAGTGGTTGACCATACCCGCATGATTTTAATTGATGTATCAAGGGCTTTAATATCCCCTTATCATTTCAACGCTAGCTAAAATATATGTAAATACCTCTAATATGACAGATAAGTGTAAAGAAATTACACGGCTGTAATCTCATGATTGACAGGAACATGCCTCCACATCCGGTCTTTATGATTACTTGGTCGTTCATAAATATATATTTACGTTGCCACAGCTGTATTTCATTTACTATCCATATAAATATCTCGTATAATAAGTAATGACAACGAAAAAGAGGGATAAAATGACAAACATGAAAATATAAAAGCTTCTTCTGTTTTACTATACGAGTATAGAAACTATATTACTTGTAATTGCATTATATTACTATTCCATATTTAATTTTTAAAGATAAATACAAGGAAATAACTGGTATTAACAAGTCTGAAGAAAGATGATAAAACAATTCTCAGAATTTAACAATTTAATTAATAATTTCTCATGTAAATACTTGTGGGTAGATTTAAAATCAGATATCATTAATTGAATTGAATAATTAATATTGACCCATAAATTAAGTCTATTTGCATTGAACTACTAACATTTTAAACATAAATACAGTGTGGAAGTTACAACACTACCACCTAAGAAGCCAAAACAAAAGGCGTAAAAGTTTACGTTCAAGCACACCTTCTTGGAAGACCCTTGTGTGTTTGATTGAGAACTCTTATAAATAAATATTCCGGACACGTGTAGAAAATATTTCACTTGCATACGCGTTCATAATATGATTTCTCTATAAAATAATCTTTTTTATAACATAATAACTTGAAAGTAAAAAAAATAGCTACTGTCTGAAATGTAAAAAAAATTCAGAAATACTCGTAAATGTAAGGATAAAAGTTTCTAATATTATTTCCTTAGATTCTGACATAATAATATAGTATTCTATAAATAATTAATTGGAAAGACATTATAATTTTTACGTAAAAGTAGTATTCAAATTAAACAATCCTTTACAATGATAATGGTAACCCACAAAATATAAATCGTAAAAAAACATCATTAGTTTCGTGACAAAATGATACAAACAACCCATTATGGAGAAACATCGGTGTCTGTTTCTATGAATTAAAGTAATGATGAATGTGGGAAACTAAAGAAACTAACTTCAACTTTACACCATTAAACTAATAAAGCAATTGAATACCTGAGTGATATAAAATGCGGATAAATTTATTTTAAAAATTGGTAGTTTGAATGTTTAAATCACAGAAAAACAACTTATTCCTCTGATTCCAAAATGTGGAAACGTGTTAAAAAACTTCGTAGTTTTTTTTCTCTCGTCACTTAAAAAAGAAATAAAAATAAACGAGCAATGAACAAACAACGCGATTAGGTGACAGTTGAAACGGTCGCCTACGCTACCGTTAAAGCATACTAATAATAATATATATAGTACTTAGAAACTTAGATATGTCATCATGATATCATATAGATACAAACTATATATAGATATAGACATACTCGTAGAATTAATAGGTAAATATTTTTTTATAATACTTAAAACAAAAAACAAGCTGACAGCCCATCTGATGAAAAATAGTAAGCGTCACAAACATGAATGACATTATAGATTTTATAGATGCCTACATTTGTCAAAGGGCTAAAGTGTTAGGTATTACACCACCCATAACTTCTAATGAAATATATTGAGTGATATAGTATATGGTATAGACTAGGTACTATTGTAATAAGATGAGCAAGTCTGATACAGTACATCAGCTAACTAAACTACAATACAACTCACAATCTAACTAATTCAGTTTCAACAATCCTCTCTGACCTTACAATCACCGATGCTAATCTTCTGGCGTGCAGCAAATCTACTCGAGTTTACCAACTTTAGGTTAGCAGCTCTGTGTAGAAGAGTAAATATGCTGAGCAAACTGACTCAGTTCGTCTTACACCTGTCGAACTTCAAATTGTTAATGTTTCTGCACTCCTGGTAATTTCATTGAAGATGGAGTATGAACTTGGTGTCGTTTAATTAGGACTGCGGTTCAAATATCTTCGTAAATGTTATTTATACGTTTCGAAATCAAATACTTCTTCGTTCTGAAATAAATTTTTGAAGATATTTTTTTTTTTTTTAATATTGCTTCAATCTTAGTCATTATTGTTGTTTAAATAGGTCTGCGAGGTTCTAATATCTTCTATAGTATCCATGTCAATTTTATTATCGAATCAAATGTTAATACCAGAAATTGTGTATTAATAAATATATGGATAAATTATAAATTATTATTTTCTTTATTTTTTTGTCTGATATTAATTACATTGTTCATTTATTGTACATCATTTATTTTTAATTCTATATAGAATTTCAGCTATACTGCAATGCAGGACATTATTAGACCTAATATTGTGTGTTAAATCGTACTATAATAAATAAATAAACTATTCATATAGGTAGGTAGTTAGTAAATTAACTATGATAAAAAAAAGTTATTAATTAATTTCAATTTAAATATTATAATAACATTCTTTTAAATATTATTTCCCAATGTCAATGAAATACGAAAACATGACTGCTTAATGCCAGGTTTTAATTCGTATCCGAGTTTAGGACAAACGTAAAGTTAGAAACGGAAAATTGTTATTTTAAGTAACTTCAACAAACAAGGGTCGTCGTTTAATTAGTCTTTATTAGACCCTGTTGGCAAAGTTTACATGTATGCAAAATTTTGGCTCCAATCAACGACCTGTTTATAGCGATTAAATTACACAAAAGTTTCCACCATGACAGTAATTATGGTCATTAATATTTAAATTTCTGGGTGAAGTAAAATTTATTATACATATACATTGTACTAGCTCTGAATATGTAGAAGTATAGTATAGGTTATTATTATTTATGATTTGACGGAAGATTGAAAAAAAATAAAACACTGCTATTAATATTTTTAATTTATAAATTCAAAGCTAAAGTAAATCAAATAATCACCAATAACAAGAAAAATTCACCAGAGGGAGACTTTGTACAAAAGTCGATTGCTTGGGTACCTCTGTCCCATTCGTGTTTCAACCGTGAAGCAGCTGTGTTTGCATGGCTGTGTTTCGGTTTGAAGGGTGGGATATGGCGTGAATTTACTGGGTACAGAGGAATAATACCTGAGTCCTCAGGAATGGCAACGCATGGGAGGTATCATGGGCGAAACAGTGTACTCTGTTATGTCCATGGTACTGCTCATGTCTATAGGCGACGGTTACCACTTTCCATTAGGTGGGCCGTCAGCTTGCTTGCCATTCTAAGTTGTATAAAAAAAAACGAAAAAAAAAAGTAATTGATTTTGCATTAATTTCTCAATTAGATGTGTTTACGAATAAAATACATAATCTTTAGTCAAATTCATAATTTATCAACAGTAGTTTTTTATTAATACATTATAAATTTTGAAAACGATTAATTTTGTAATACATATTACAAACTAAAATAAAGATCACATAATAACTGATTCTCTATGAATATTATAGAACATACTTTACTGAATTAGGTCTTATTTTACGGAAGTCCATAAAACCGGTTAGTCGGTTAGAATTAATTTCCACTACTATTATTTATTTTTATCGCCTCAAAGTGCCTAAAATAATTTTTAATATAATTATTATTACTGCAATAGATAATTTTTATAACCTCTCGTAAAATTACCATCACAAAAAACAATATGAATAGTATAACAAAGTTATATTACAGGGGTAAAATTACCAGGCGCCCATAAAACGTAAAGCAACCAACGAATACCAAGGAGCTTAGCCCACACTGCGTGACTTCGCACACATTCATCGTAACAAAGCGACGAGGATGAAACAGGTAGAAAAACCCCACCAAGTTAATATTAGACCCTGTTACAGAGTAAACAGGAGTTTTGTATAGGAGCACAATTTTAATTAAAGCAAATATTAAATATACGAATGTGTGCTGTTATGTGTGTTAAACTGAATACAAATTAGATAATATTGCATATGACATGATTAATTATAAGCATCGATAACGAAAACAAAATACGTGGTACGTATCAATGTAGTAAATTCAAATTCAATAAGAACGTGCTCATGAATTATGACTGTCGGTATCCATATACATGTGCAATTTTGATGTCTTTTATATTTACAATACCAACAGTAATTCTTATCTATAATACTTTCAATCCATTAAATATATTTTTATACGTGAAACAGATTACATTACTTGTTAATTTAATATACGCTTTTAAAAAACGTACTGAACTTGTTTTTGTTTTGTTAATTTTAATATTCTATTCTCAATATTAGAACAGTTAAAACTCCGAAGAAAAGATCGGACCATTTATTTTAATGTATCAGTAATAACCATTTGTATCCAAAAACATGTCATATGAACGCTTAAAAGCGAGATAAAACTTGATTAACCCCTCTTGTTTCCTCATTTCGTTCATATAACACCAATTAACCTTCAAATATTCCTTCCATTTACATGCATAAACTAATTCTTATGCAAAGCACTCGGAACATTCATTAACATTAGTTTTTACTTCAACTTAGAATAGTTCGCTGGACCGTTTACCATATCTTTTGAATATACTAGCACCGCCTTTTTCTTACCGATTAAAACGAAGCTGGACATCGACACATTAATATCTTTTTTACCGTCATTAAAATATGCGTGGCATTTAAGTTGTCTCGATATCTCCGTATCAGTAAATGGATACGTATAAAAGGTACCGTCCTTAATGTTATTTCTTTAAACTTTGGTAACATCTTTATAACTACAATAAGTAAACATGTATATTAACACTATATTTTTATATTCTAAGAGGTAATAGAAACATTTATTTCGATGAATAACAATTTATTTAAGTAAAATTGTTATGAAACATGATACGAAAATTCTATTAGATCATGTTGAGAGGCGCTAATGTCGATATAATCCGTTACATCCGCAATTCAGCAACCTTCTAATAAAATTAGCAATATAAAGGAAGTGATGGATCATAATGTATAAGATAGATCACAATGTATCAGTTACGAATTGCCAAAGGAAATTACCTACTCGATTTTATTATAGTTCGACCATGACCTCCGCAGTACAGCTTTACAAATTATTGGCATCAATTTCAGACATTACTGACAGAAAGCGGATGTTGCAAGCACAATGGACGACAACAAAACATAAATATTGGCCTATTAGTCGGAACTGCGATATCGATACCCCGATGAAATTTGTCAGAGCTTTTGTGCACAGTTCCGGCGGTAATCGCTTTACAAATGATGTATAGAAAAAAACTGTAACCGTGTATTGTTTGGTTGAATCTGTTAGAGGAATGCTATAGTCCCAGGTATACATGGGGGTGTATCGATCACACAATGTGTGAAGCGATGATAATAAGTTTTGAAATAAATCAATAGCGACACTATATTAGATTAATAGTGACAAAATTAATACAAATGGACCCATTAATGGCGGTAGTGTTACCATTATTGGAATAGACGGTCTTGTCAATGAATTTTCTATATGTTGCTTAATGGGTTTTCCAATAGTACTTGCTCCTAAATTTGTATTGAATAAACTTATTATGTAAATATAAATACAAATTTAACATAGCAGAAATGTTTACTGTATTCTTATTAAAAGCTAAGTCGACATCGTTGGACGTTTGTGATGCCAGTGGCTTTCATAGATTCTTTTTTTGCCGGCGTGCCATCGAGCGACTGTTCAATGTGGATTCTTGGAGCACTTGAGCTTGAACAGGTTTTAACATGGGGACCGAAAACCGGTAAAAAATCATCACAGGTAATTACGGTAGGCTCATCGCTTCAGAATCCGATATAGAAGTGTAATAGCGTGGGTAATTGAAAAGAGGAATCTGTTTTCACTCTAACTCAAATCATTCTAATAATAGTTTTTTTTTTTAGTCACAGATTGTTTATAAAATTATTATAAACCTTAAAATAATTCGAAGTGAATATCCATACAGAATGTTATATTCTTAAGAACAAATATTTCCAGGATTGTAAATGCTTTCCTTGTTTGACCAACAATGTATGCTGTCCATTGTGGCAACCATTTTCCGACCACTTGTTAAGCAAAATTATTAGAAGCATTGCATTGTGTATGAGGTTGAAAACAAAGAATTTCTGCAAGTAGGTAGTAAAAAGGAATGAGTATGCGGAAGGCAGGTACATTTCGTTCGGTTAATAAGTACCTGAGCTATAAAAAGTTGCACAAAATGTACTTACGAAGGCGTTATTACAAGTATACCTATTTCCCATAGAATCAACGTACTTAGGTCTGTTTTGTTGGCGTTACTAAGTATTGTTTTATCAGTAATATGATAAAGAAAGAATTGTAATTCGATAAGAATATTAGTCAATCGTGATGATGTGTTTCTTACAAATATAGGATTAACTATTTACACAACACCAAAGGGCGTTCCTACCGCGTAATATTCCGCCCTCTTAATCACTATCCAGCGGAATAATTAATAACACCTCAATTAAAATTTTGACTAAAGGGCTTCCGCCCATATGATGAAGTCTTTATAACTTATTGTCAACTGCTTGTTTCGAATTTATTTTAATAAATTCATTGCATTCTTTTACCTTTCTAGTTTATTTTGTTTTCTTCATTAATACCTTTATCAACCTAAAGTTACTAATTTATATAATTGTTTGTAGCTTCTTTCATTGAAGGTAAATGACCTAATGAAACCAAAACTCATTATTTTTATGTTATTTACACATTAGTAATTAATTAAAATGCCAATAATAAATTAATCTGTCATAAACATCAAGTGCCATAACCATTAAGACTTATGTAATAAAAGAAGCGATCCAATTTTATCAACATAATTTTTAAATAATTTTAAATTTATTAAGCTGATTCTAAGTTGTTTTACATTGTCTCGTAAACATTGCAATTATTGTGCAGGATTAAGATCATTGTTTCGTGTCAGAACAAGTTGTATTACTAATTAACGCCTCAGGTAGCTGAAACAGGCTATGCGATTTATCGTAAAACCCAATTTAGAGCCGAGAGGCACGCGATTACAATCTTCTCACGACAGGAAGGCGCGCAAACTCCTCATCTCGAGGGAAATCACGCACGCAACAAACTTTATGGCAACACGTCCCGAGAAGCGATCCGCCTCGGGCGGCCGAAGACGCCCGCACCACACGCAGACTTATTTAAAATAAATAATATGCAGGCAGTGTCTCTACGCGGCGTCATATTAAAAAAAACTTCGAACCACATCTCACTCCCAACACAAATTCATTCATCAACATCATAACATCACTTTCACAAGTCACGTGTTAACCGCGAGAAGCACTGCCCACCATATAGGGCTAACAAAACACTGACCGTTGTTGAATACGGCTGCAGACTTAGTCGGATTCCGTCTTGAGCGAGACGTTCCCGAAGCAGACGCTTTAATTGCAAGCGCGGTATTTTCACTAATTCCGCTTTGCCTTCTTCGTACTCATCGGCATATTTTGCTGGCTCTATTGCAACTGTTGCCTGCTCTTTTCGGGCTTCTTCTTCACATCTACAGGAGTCTCTAGCGGCGGCGGCCTCCTCCAATGTAAAATAGACAGCCGCAGCACCTTCCTCTCTCAAAGTTCTGATAGAGTGCAGCAGCCTTTGACGATGTGCAGGATTGAGAACCCCGATTGCATCCAAATCTGGTTCTCCGACTTGTTTGCATATTTCCAAGTCATCGTAGCCATTATCAATAAAACTCTCCGCATATTGGCCCAAATGTAGGGATCGCAACCACTCGACGACGATGTTACCGGTCGTGGACGAGGCCATGTCGCGTCAAAACGCGGCGCGCATTACAAGGCGTGCTCACGGCGCGGCGATCGGCGAGAAACTGGCGGCCACGCTCCCCTTCTCCCCACTTTCCCCTCCACAAGCCGCGGTCGCCGCCCCTATCCTTCTTGCTTTTGCTTTTTGACATTTTGTAGCATAATCGTTTCATTTCATAGAGGTGCGCGTCGCGCCACAAGATAGTTATAATATACTTATTTATTAACATGTTTTGCGTAATAGTTACACGCAGTTTTTTGTCAGGTTCTATTAATTTTTTTTCAATAAAATATTCAAAAAGCTTCTTGTTTATTTTTCATTCTTTATCGTACTGTTTGTGAATTAATAATGAATGACTAAAGCGGTTGTAACATCAATATAACTTGAACAGCGGGTGGTAGCAGGACCGTATGATTTATATTGTATTATACGTGAACTTATTAAAAAAAATACACCACTACTTACAAATTGAAATAATCGAGAAGTTTTTTATATTCAACTGTGCATAGAATAAGTAATAGGTACAGTACATGCTACTATTTTATTTATTGACTTGTTCAATAAATATAGGTATGTAATTTATTATATATTATTTTTATTTATATTATATACCTTATGTAGATTAAAGGAGTCATTTATAAAAAAAAATAACATTGACGAATTAAGTTTACGTACTCACCAGCCTAGTTATTGGCAAGAGAGCTTTCAAAGCTAATAAGTATGTAGGTAAGTTCTGAACTGCCGACTTTCAATTTTCTATTAAAATAGAACAAAAATATTTGATCAAAGTTATTAATATTTACTTATATTTTTTATATAACAGAAGTAAGAAAATTTACAATAGTGACCTTAACTCTACAAGAGTTCTCTTCCAGCAAACCCAAAGTGGGCAGGACTATCGATGTCAACGGGTAGAGCGGTATACAATACTGTGACAATTTATAAACAAAAGAAACTAGACAATAAATTAATACTTAACCAAATATATCATATTGAATTGTATATGTATAAACATACATAGATATAATTATATATACTTACACAAATAAATACAATATGTTCATAAGGATAGAAGAATTTATGTTACTTTATCTAGTTATCGGGATTTTGTTGTTTGACAACTATATAATGTGGCTAGTATTGTTTTTTATACCAATTACTAGCATATCAAATTTCATGAATATTGGTAGAGTTGTTAGCTTCCAAGAAATAAACATTAAAAGAATAAATAAACTCACTTTTTTTATTATTATTATAATAAAATATTAATAAGCATATTTGAAGTGATAATCAAACTGATCACCTAATGAAAAGTAATCAGTCTTTAGTTGTATATAATTCACTTATAGTGTTTACGGATTATTTATGTTTAAATTGACGTTGGTGATAAGATTGTTTCAACCATAAATAGTAATTACTATGACATTACTCATCATTCATTAGCCGTGTAGATCCCGGCATAGAATGGGCCACCCCTTTACCGTGGGTGTCGATTTGGATGTGTAAGCCTAACTGCGATCCACGGGGGGAAGGGATTTTTAGTAATGGAGACTGAGAATCCCATTGCTAGCAATATACTCAATCAAGTCGACCTCCTCGCGGTTCCCCTTGGAAACTATCATGGTTAATTCCTGATTAATTCATCATGATGGGCTAACTGGCCTGTTTACATTCTCATTAATCACCCTTCACTGGTGCTCCGCCAGCGTGTCCCGTTAGCGCAGACGGGGTTACCATTCCATTTTCACCCATAAAAAAAAGCCACCTGCCAAGCGTGGTAACTATTGGCAATATCCTACAAGGGGAAGGCCTATGTTCAGCAGTGGACAGATAATGGCTGATGTGATGATAATGTATTTTACAGTTTATTTAAACTTCGTTTTACATATACATGTAAATAAGCATGAAAGGGTTAGTAGATATGAAAATGTTTTACTGAATTCAAAACAAGTGTGGTATATAATTATCATTTTAAATTTCTTCTTCTTGTTTAAATGACGTAACTTAAATCTGGTTAACATCAAAAACTTTGTATCACAATTATATTTATCTGACTAACTGTGTGATGATGGAAAACATCGATAACAAACCTAGCCTCACCTTCTAAGTTGGATTCTAATATACTCAGCGAAACGTTACGTTTAACACAACGGCAACAATAAACAGATGCTTCTGACTACCCCATTGTGTATTTTAGTCATGAGTACATTAATTACTTAATTCTAATTTTTGACTCATTAATTATTAAATTATAAAGGATATAAAACATGAAAATTAATTTTGCAACTTCAAACTTTATTAATATAGCCGAGTAAATATCCCGGTTTCGTGATCACCGCATTGCGTTATTTATTTCAAATATACATACATACTATGATATATAATAATATACATACATATTATCATACATATTATTTCCCTTTATTTGGCACCGAAGTTAATTACCCACGAAGTGAGAAGTGGAGCAAAGTTTACTTTTGCTAAAGCTGTTACTCATTAAACTTCTTGAACCTGTTTTATCTCATTTCGGAGGCCGAAAACAGAAGCGGAGGTTTACCTATTAAAGTTTGCATAAAGCTAACCCGACGATACGACTTCAAAATAGTTTTGGACTTTTTGATTAATATTACATTAGCATCGCTTGGCCTTAAAATGGACACTTTTCTTTTTTTTGTTTCACACATGTATTTTCATAACGTTTCACATTTACAATACATGCATATAGTAGATGCTATTTTAATTTGATATGAATGGTAAATAATGGGGACTTTTACAAAACCAAATTAGCAATTACAACTGTTTTAGAAATAATTTAAATAAAAACGCTGTGTGTTTGTATAATAAAAATAAACACATTTTATTTCTTAAAATTTAAATATATAAAACATAAACATGTTTAAAATAATTAAGATTACCAATTTTCATCAGAGGGTTGTCAGTTTTTTGTCATTCTAAGTTTCATAAAAAAATTTTAATGTCCCATAATTTCGGGTAAAGTTCAACAGTATAGTCCATAGAGTACAGACCTCTGATAATCTTAGGCTATATACTACTTTTTAGGGGTGAAACAAATTGTTTAATAATGGTGTCTATTTGCACAATTGCTAGCAATAATATACTATATTAGGTCGATACAACTCTAACAAATCTATAACCTGTGATCGAATAATTATAAAATGAATTTTAAAACCTTAGATATATGTATATTACTATAGAAGAAGGCAGAATTGTTAGAAGGCATTAGCAACTTTATGGATCGCAAATGTTAATGGACTAAGCATCCTCTTATTAAACAACCAGAATGGCCATTTTAGATCTCTACATCGAGAATGCATTTAAATATTTTATTAAATTTAAAGTTGATAATCTGATATTACTAAGGCTGCGAAGTAAATTATATCGGTCTATTGTTCTGGATAGTGACTAACACGGAAACTATGCCTCATGAAAGGTCATTAATAAAAGCAATATAATTTAAATAAAAATCCATGAAATTTTAGATCAATTTCCAAAAAGATGAAATTCTCAATCCAACTGTATTTTTTATCTTATTTTAAAAATCCTTTTTTAATTGTAATTAAAAAGCGACTTTAATTTTGTACATCGCTTGTGGCTTTCAAAATGAAGGGTTTCTCAATCAGTTTGCACATTTTACGCATATGTTACGCAATTATGTTGCAAAATGAATCAATTCCGATAAGTATTTTTGCAATCTATGTGGTTTACAAACTTTGTTATGTTTATAATTTTGTTACCATTGAAATGGCTATTAGTGTATTTTTAAGATTATATTCCGCGGTGGTTCCTTAAAAAAGATGCATACATACTCTTAGACATGTAGGGGGGAAGAGATTTTTAGAAATTACGGACTACCAGTTCCATTACTAACAATATACCTTGTCAGATCGACTTCCACGTGCCCCCCCCCCCCTCTGGAAACCAACATGTTGAATTCCAGGTGCATTCATCACGATGGGCTAATTGACCTGCCTTTTAATTCTCACGATCATCCCTCACTGCTGCCCCGCCAACATATACTGTAAGCACAGGTGGAATTGCCATTTCATTATCATCTATAAATAAAGTCTTAGACATGTCTGTACTCATGTGGTTGCCACTAAGCAATTCTGAAGTGAGCACAACTCACCCCAGTCCCTTTAAATACGTCAATAGTAATGCTGATTGTAACGTGAAGTAAAATACATTTGTTTAATTTAATTTATTTGAAACAGTTCCAGTAATACTTTATATCTGTAGACACCGTATGATTTAACCGGAGTGAATTGGTCCATGAAATTATTTTAGGATCTATTTCGATACTGCATTGTAAGTGCATTTCTAAAATAATGCATCCAGTTAGTTATTTTGAATAGCTGTTTTCAACTTGATGATGCAAGCATATTGAGAGAGATATTTATACATAAAAACTAATTATAAATATATATTTATTTTTCTTGATTTAATTTAGTTCTAATATCTACAAATAATAAAGACAGAAATTCTAAAATGTTTTTTATGCCATAATATTCTAAGATTTGTGGCACTTAAGATTTCAAATGTCCGTAATATTATTTTTATATCAAGATACTTACAGTTTTTTTGTAAATTTGTAAATATAATAGACACAATCTCTTTAAAATACCATATTTCATGACTGACAAGATTGATTGATTTGATGTGATAAGGTTCCAAGAATTACAAAAAAAAAAAAACAAAAGAAAATCACTTTCATATAGTAAAAATATTTTTATATACATCATTTCAAATACTTATTATTACTTCACTTAAAAAAAAAGTTATTTAAAATGTAAACGCAGTCATCAATATACGAATAATCAATATACAGAGAAAAAAAAAAACAAAAATAAAAAGTAGTGAAAAAAATGTTTAGCTAGCACTTGTTTTAAGTTATTCAGATCATTACAAGTAGGTGGGTGCTTTTGTTTCCGCATTTTCCTTATTTTTGAAGAGGCACACCGATAAGGCGCTATGAAACGATACCGGGACAAAGACTTGGCTTAATACACTTCTGAAGGCTCCTCATGGTTTCCTTATCAGAATATCACTCGTTATCTTT